TGAAATATCACGGCCATCTTTGATTCATTCTCCTCTTTCATTCTCCACTTCATTCCCTGATTAACTTTTTAAAAACCTGCCAGTTACAACAAAAAATAAAAAGGAACACCTTTTTGTTTTTAAAAGGATTGATTTAAATTTGTCTTACAATGTAGCTTAATATTTTCAATTTATAAATGAGAAAGTGATGCACAAAGAGCTAAAGTGACTGACACAAGGAAACAGTTTATATTGCTAGCTGAATGAAGAACTCAAGTCTACTTTCCACACTAGATGGTTACACATCATGATGCAAGATGAAAATGAGGTAAGGTAATTCTGACACTTTACTCTGAAAAAAATGAAGACTTACATAGCCTAAAAGTGACAAAGCAAGGTGACCCCAGGTTTGTACACCAGGTTCCAAAGTCAGGGGACAAGCTACACAACTTTAGGGAACACAGTTCCATAATAAGGCAATTACACATAATGCATTTTCTCTAGGACAAACTCACTCTCAAATACTATTTCTTAATGTTCCCACAAATCGCTGAAATATCCTGGATATTCCCATTTGAAACATATAAAGTACATTTTTAGCACCTTGAAGTGGAACAGAAAAAAATTATTTGTCTAACTATGTTCTAATTTTTTGCCCTGGAAACATAGTCATTGTTTCCTTTAACCATATTTTACATGATTTCAAAGAATGGAAGGATTTCCAGAATAATACAAGTTTAAAACAATCATTGAATATTCATTATCTTATTTAATCCTTGAAACACCTATGAGTAGGTAGGTTCTATTATTATAACCATTTTTCCAATGCCAGGAAATTGAGGCTTCGTTTTCTCAGATAAAATGTCTTAACCACTCATATTATCATGTCACTCTCAGAAGCCTCCAGTGGATCTTCATGTCTTTTCTCATCAAAATGATGCCCTGTTTGAATTTCAGGCTCGTCGCAGTTTATCTTATCCATGTAGCTTTGCCTCTCTAACTTTATTTCATAGAAACCTGTATATTTTTCTAGCCTGGGCCAAATCTCTGCACTGGGATGCCAATGCAGCATGCGGATGCTAGCAGCAATAGAGCAAAGAGTGGTCCTTCCTGACCTTGTCTTTTTTTTTTTTTTTTAATAGAGGCATGTTTTTTATTTATTTATTTGTTTGTTTCTTTGTTTATACATGCACTGGGTACAGTCAGAAGCGCGGGAGGGTGAGAGAATTCACCAGAGCCAGAGCAGGGAGCAGAGCAGGCAGAAGAACCAAAGTACACTGCTGAGGGGAGCAGCGGGCGGCAGGAGAGGTCTGCGCGCCATGTGGGACCCTCCTCCAGTGGCCGGGGAGCAGCCGGGGATCGAACCGGCGCCGCAGAGGTCGCCGGCAGCTTCGCAACCCAGCGCTCAACCGCTGCGCCACCGGGGAGGCCCCTGACCTTGTCTTTTTTTAAGTAGCAATTTTTGGCTCTTTTACTAGCAAATACACCAAAATTGCTTATATATCATGCTAGTACCACCTTTTGCAATTTATGAGTTCTACAAGTCTACAGGTACTTTTTTTGATTTATCTTAACTTAGTCATGCTCATATTTCAAAGATTTCCTTCATCTTCACATCATGGTTCACAAGCCCAGGGACACCATTTACAGACTGCCACAGGGAGCTGTGCTCCCTAAAGTTGTGTAGCCTGTTCCCTTACCTTGGCTCCTGGTGTACAAACTTGGGGTCACCTTGACCGTATCTTTAATAAGTTTATGAAAGTGTTCATTTTTTCAGAGTCAAGTGCCAGCATACCCCACATCATTTTCATCTTTTTACTTGTCCTCCCTATTTCTGATTTCATTATAGCATTCCTATGACCCAGAGACTGGAAGTATACACAGACTGAGGGGTAAAGTCACTACAGTTGTCCATATAAGGTCAGGGCTGTTTTCATCGCCCTGTTTCCACTGTCTCTTTGGATGATGCTCAACATTGCATTTTTGTCTTTTTCCAGTACAAAATACAGGGCCACTGTCCTTTGTAGTTAGGTGTGGTACTACACCCAGAGGGTGGATCAAACTCTAGCAAAAAAGCACTCATGACTGACACAGGAGACCAGGATCCTGATCCTATGCATGTTTTTGACAAATTATATGATCCTAGGCAAATAATTAATTCAATAAAACTGTGTAAGGAATAATATTGAATGCTGAAATACAAAAATAAGAGACACATACCCTGCCCTCAAAGGGCTCATAAGCTAGTGGAAAAGACTGATATGAAAATCTGTGATTAAAACAGGGCATGACAAGTGACAAGAGTACTACTTCAGAGTAGACATGGGAGAAACTTCAAGATGAGGCCTCTAGCTCATCTGGAGGTAGAGGCCAGAAAATACTTTCTAAAGAGTGAGTTATCAATAGTTGAACATACCTGGGGAAGTCTGATTTGTTCATTGCTATATTTCTAGCCCCCAGACTAATGTCAGGTACAGAGTAGGTACCCAACAAGTATCCCTTTGCTGATGTGAGTAAGGAGGGTATTCTTTCTGGCTAGGATTACTTAGACAAAGGTGTAGGGGGTCAGAGAACATGGTGAAATAAAAGAATAATGAATAACTATAGAGAACTAGCGTGGACAAAGGGGGTGTGTTTGGGGCCTAAGGTTAGAAATATAGATCACGACTGGAATATAAAAGGCCCAGTATGGTGTGCTAAGGCTTTTAAACTTTATCTTGAAGTCAGTAAGGAGCCACTAGAGGATTTAAGCTCTAGAGTCACACAGTCAGCTATTGTATTAGTTTGATGTGCTAGTTAATAACTTATTGCCTCTCAGTTCCAAGTTCTCCCTTCATTGTTTCCTCAGCAAAAATGGAACTGGGTGCTATATATATATACACATTTACAGAGTCAGCTGACATAATGTTAAGTTTCATCAGTAGAGGGCACTGGAGGGATACTGGAGGAAAAAGGGGTTTCTCTTGTGGGTTACATTTGCTTCTCTTACTGGGTTCCAGGAGCACAATTTCTTCAGTACTAGCTAGGACCTTGTAGTGCACAGCTCCTCCAGCACCTAGCTCCTGCATACGTGATCTCTTGAGTCCTGGCTGCTGCAGGGCGTGGCAGTCAGTAGTGCCCAGTGGCTAGCAGCTTCCCCTGATAACTCTCTTGGGGAGCTTTGCAGCAAAGTGCTGTCAGTGAGTCCCTTCCACCGATGGATTTTTCACCATCCCAAAGAGTAGGTTTCTGGCTTCCTGCATATCAGTAATTGCTCTGCCATCCAATGAGTTGTGGTCACCCTTTGCAACAAGCTCTTAGGTGGTCTTCTCTTTCTTGGGTGATCTACTTCAAGAGTGATAGCTGCTCCTTTTATCTGTGATTCCTATATATTTTGTCCCTTTATGTCTTAGTAACCTCCTTTATGGCAACACGATTATAGTTAAAAATTCTGTATAAAACTTTGTTTTACTTGTTTTATTATTTCCTTCTCTTTTTTTGACTTTGAAACCCACTCCGGTTGATGGCTGTGTGGATGGGCTGAGGAGAGCAGAGTGAAACTTCAGGCAGGAACCCTGGTTTAGCCGCACTTTTGTAACAACTCTTGAGAGCATCATAGTTTTGAAAATTAGTTGCAATGGGGAGGTACAGGAGAGACAGGAGCTATGGGACTTAGCTCCTGCATGAGGAGGATGACAAAAGTTTAGGGTGACTTCCCACTTTGCAAGTTTGGATGACTGGGTAGATGTGGCACCATCATAGAAATGGAGAAGACTCAAGGAGGGTCAGATCAGTTCGTCTCCCATGTTCCTACTTGCACTCAGAGTTCCACATACTTTTGAGCCACAGAGACTTAGAATCATAGACTCCTTAGATTGGGGTCACTAAAGCCCAACGTTCCTGCCTTTGGGCAAGAAAACGATTTTTCACACCAGATAGAAATGGGGAAAGGCCTTTCCATCTTATCATTCCATAATTCCAATGTTTTGTAAAGATCTTTTCCATTCTTGAAATTCTCAGTATGATAGGACTTCTCCAATTATCCATTCCATCCCCATGCCCAACTCTTAAAATTCAATAACTTTTCTCTTTTGTGAAATCTAAATAAGCCCATACATACTTGTTAACTGCTGAAGAATATAGGACTTATCAAATATGAAATTATAGATTTGTTTCTGGAATTTCTCATTTGGATTTATATAGGTTTGGACTAAACAGGGCTTCAGTTAAATCAACAGCTTAAGTAACATGAAAGAAAGGATACAGCCTACAGAATCTCAGAGGCAGTTTCTATATACAGCTTTAGAACCAAGGTCAGACAACTATATATACTTATTTGGGTTTGGAATAGGTGGTGGTGGGTTTTGGGCATGTGCTTACCCTTACTTGGCATGCCTTTCACAGATTCTTCAAAGTTCAGCTCAGCTTTTCCAGATCTGTCAGTTTCGTTATACCTTCTCAGAGCACCATTTACCTCTACTTAGCAACATTTATCTCTACTCTAATTTTTACATTTGTTTGATTCTTTACTTAATACATGCCTCCCCCAATAGACTATAAGCTTGAGGGCAGGAACTGTCAGTTTCTGATTTCTATAGGATCCAGAAAACCTAGCCCAGTGACTGAAATGCAGTAAGTGCCAGTAGCTATTAGCAAAATGAGTACATGATAATAGTTATGTTAGTCTGCCCATAGGTCCTCAGGACAATCCCCACCCCACCCCCCATAGGTATTCTTATATCCATGTTACATTTGAAAAAGCAGAGGTTTGGCTAATCAGTGATCCCAGATTCTGAGGTGTTCTAAGTCACTGTGCTCTGTGTGCTTGTACCCAGCTCTGGATACAAAATATACCTATTTTGGCGAGAGAGCAATAATCACCGTGGTCCTATTTTCTTAAAGATCACACTCTCTCCCCACGCTCTGTGAGCTAGGAAGACTTCCGAATCCAGACTGGCAGGATTCTTCCCTCAGACTCCTGCCGCCGCCAGGAGTGCCCTCATGACACGCCCCTCCCTCCTCCTCCCCTTCTGGGTTTCTACCTGAGAGGTTCGCTCCCAAACGGGCTGTCTGGCACCGGGCGACACCTCGTGCCTGGTCTCAGGCGGGAGGTGCAGGGAGAGCTCCAGCGCCTCGCGCCCTCGGCAGGGGGAAAGCAGCGGAACCTGGGCGGGAACGGGCGGCGCGGGTCTCAGCCGCAAGGTCCGGGAGAGCAGGGGCGGGACCCGGCTTTGTTGGCGCTTTGTCCGCGCCTGGCAACCAGACGCCAGCTGCGCGCCTGGCAACCACTGAGGAGGGACCCGGGGCGACGTCACAGAGCCGCCCTCCCGCCGCGCCCCGCCCCGCCCCGCCCGTCTCGCCCGGCCCCTGCCGAAGCCCCTGCGGAGTCTGCATTTCCAAGGAGAGGCTGACTACTTTGCGGTTTCTTTGTGGCACCAGCCGGCCTGAGCTTTAAGAGTGGGAATGGGGGGTGTTAGGAGACTGGGGTGGGGGGTGGGGGGTGAGGGCGCGCAGAGGGGTTGTATCAACTCACAGTGGGCTTTTTATAAGTTAGAGAGCAAAAGTGGAATAGTAAAATTATCTTTTTTAAAGAGATTTATTTATTTATTTATGCAGACAAGAGCTGGGGTACAGGCCAGAGATATGGGGGCGTGAGAGAATTACCAGAGACAGAGTAGGGAGCAGAACAGGCAGATCTACTGAAATACACTGCTGAGGGGAGCAGCGGGCTCTGCTGTGCCATCTGGGTAGCACCCTGGCTGGGGATCGAACTCATGCTGCAGAGTCTGCAGATTGCTTCATAGTGCTGACGCTTAACCCCTTGCGCCACCAGAGAGGCCCCTTAAAATTATCTTTTGGCTTGTGCAAAGTGGGCAGATGAGAAGCCCTTGGGAATATTAGTAGTATGAACTGTTTGAAATGCGTTTTTTTGTTGTTGTTTTTTTTTTTTTTGTGTGTGTGTGTGCTAGGAACAGACTGCATGACATATATAAACTCATTTAATTCTTACAGTCAACCCAGGAGGCTAGTATATACTATTAACATCTTAATTTTTACACACGAGGAAACAAAGCACATCATGATCAAGTAATTTGTCCAAAATGCAGCTATCTAGTGATACTTAGGATTTGAACCTATGTTGTCTGGCTCCCAACTCTTCACCCTTAACTTCTATATTGCTATGACAGGGGGATGAAGCTAGTGTGGAAGGAACAGAATTGGAGATGCTCAAGGAACAGGGAATGAAGGGAAATATTCACCTTGTAGAATGGCATCAAAACCTAACTAACTCTGCAAGAAAGTTATTTATCTTCATTTTAGAATAAACAGGCTGAAATCTAAGTGACTTACCTATGGTGAAGCAGCTAACAGTAAGACCAAATTTGGCTCCAGGTCTTCTGATCTCAAGATTTTTCTATTTTAAGCTCCCAAGTAGACAAGAAAAGCCCCTTTTCCTGCTACACCCTGTGTTATTTCTCTCCCATTTTTAAAGATGCCCATTGCATCTACTCTTTCAGTCCACTGTACTGTACTGTGCTCTAGTCTAATCAGTGACTTCATTCATCCTGCCCTTTTAAGGTTTCTCTAGTGGAGAGATGAAAGCTGTTGTCTCTCCTTAAAGCAATTTCAAGCACCAGTGAGCAAGTGCGGAGTGGGGTTTTGGTTTATGTATGCAGAGGGCTTTTCTCTGGGCCTGTTGTCATCTATTTATAAAGGTCCAGTGTGTTCACATTTTTCAAAGTCTTGCTGGTCTTTGCTCAAGAGAATTCTGGATGATCTGGGGATGGTTGCTTGCCCACAGTGATTTGGGAGTAAAAGAAACCTAATCACTTGCTATCACCCATCTTTCTGTGTTTTTCTGGAAGAGGCCTTCTGCTGCTGGTAGAAGCACTTGACCAACAGGATGTACCCTTGTATGACAGGGTAGTGCCCAGGAGGTGGGGAGGTTCCAGGTTTCCTGCCCCACCCAAAGGAGGGTGGAGCTAAAGAGAAGAGAAGAAGCTGAAGAAGGGACAGAGGAAGGAAGGAAGCAGGATGGAGAACCAGAAGGAGACCTGGAGGAGGCACACAGAGCAGAGAGACAAGTGAAAAAACTGTGTTTGTCTTTTGGCCGTGGACTGAGTGACACAGATATGGGTGAGAGACTGTGGGGAGGTAACAATGGCGGTTTTTGTCTTGATTTTGATTTTGCTCTTTTCCCTCCAGACTTGTCTGGTTGTTTCGGATCCTTTTCTGTGGGTCTCTACTGGAAGATGCTTTAGACTTGTGGCAGGCTTTGGGGCCTTGCTCAGGGCCAATCCCATTTGGATGGACTTTTACCCACCAGGGGATGGGTAACTTAGGGTGCTTGATTTAGAAACTATATTCTTTGCCTTTCCTGTATTGTTTCCTAGTCGTAGTAAGGTTCCTTCCCATTAAAGTCTCATATGTTTTGTGTTGATGTGGCGGATGGCAGAACCTATTTAGAGCAGGCAGGTTTGTGGGGTCTGGGCTGCCCCTCTCCCTGCCTTGTAACACTTGGACTAGAAGAAGAGGATGGAGATATGAGAACTGTAGGTGCATCTTCCAGGAGAAAAAGAAAGGTATGGCCACTGGGGTTTGTTTTTCTTCTGCACAGGGGAAGACAGTGTTTTGGTCTTTTTCTGCTTTCCTGTGGATTAAATGATATAGAGAGGAATGAATAATAATGATGGTTTTCATGCAAAAGAAGGGGTGTTTCAGGCAAAGTTGTAACCAACTGGAAGTGGAAGATGAAAAATGGAATTTTGGTGTGGCTGGAATATAAGGAAGGAATTTCATGATATTATATGATGTAAGTGGTCTGATTCCTGTCTGCAGGAGGTCAGGGTAAGAGGCAGAGGTGAAGGTATTTCATGGATCAGTCAATAAATTCAACAGAATATAAGGAAGAGATTATGACTTTATAAGGATTTATGATAATCACAAAATTATGGAGAGTTACTTTGTCCTCAGAGAGAGGCAGGATGGGGTGGGAGACCCAGGAGCACACGTGTAAGTGGTAGTGGTCTAGATCTTGGGTTAGTAGGTGTTCATTATGTTTCAGAATTTACATATACTTTTTTTTGTTTTAGATATTACATACAGACTTTTTAAGTAAACTCATCAAACAGGCCATACAATTACCTTTTATTTTCTTGTGTAATTAAGAGTTGATTGTATATGTTTTTATCACCATTTCATTTTCCCCATCAACATGTAATCATGCTCTAATTTCTCCTATCATTTTCCTTTCCAGATTTGCCCCATTTATCTGCTCCCCTTTTTTGCAGTGTTCTTTAAGTCTGTACTTGCCACTTCTAATTTCTCTCCTCCCTGTCTCTCTTAATCCATCTGAAATTTATTGAGGCTTTCAGCTCCATCACTCCACTGAAACTACTCTTGTCAAGAACCCAACAACAGGATGTTAAATCAAAGGTTGTTTCTTAATCTTAATTCAACTTAGCAGCGCACTTGACCATGTGGATCGCTCTCTCATTCTTGAAACTCCTTGGTTTTCAGGACATCACACATCACACTCTGGTTTTCCTTCTCCCTGACTGACTCTTCCTTTTCAGTCTCTTTTGCTGGTTGTTGTGAATTGAATGTCTGTGTCCCCTGAAATTCATGTATTGCAGGCCCATCCTCCAATGTGAAGGCATTTTGAGTGAGGGCCTTTCGGAATTAAGTTTATTTTTAAAAAATTTTTTTCTTTTTCTTTTTTTTTTTTCCTTTTTCCTTTTCTTCTTTGGAATTAAGTTTAGATGTGGTCTTGAGGGTTGAGTCCCTGTGATGGGATTAGTGCCCTCACAAAACGAAGGACAAACCAGAGCTCACTCTCTCCTACAGGAGAGTGTCCAAGATCTGGAGTTTAGAAAAGAGTGCCCGCACATGCATAAATCAGTAAAACTGCAAGACCAAGCATGCTTTGCATCTCTGACAGAAAGTGATGTTGTTTCTCTATTCCAGTGGAATGAAAAAGAACCTCCAGAGGAGACAGAAGAAGTTGAGAACTTCTGACTCATGAAATGCACGTGTGTCTTGCAGCCAGGGATATGCACTTGCCCACCTGCTAGGTCTCTGTTGTTTGTTTTTGAATAAATCCATTTTGTTGTTGGAAAAACTGCTTTTATTTGAGGTTGAGAATGTTTATGGTGCTTATTATGTGTGCAGACCTGTTTTAGGGCCCAGCAATACACAGTGAATAAAAGAAACAAAATCCATGCACTCTAGTGAGAGAATGGGGACAAACCATTAAAGCCAATAAAACAAAAAACAAAAAAGCTTGTCGTGATAGTAAAGCAAATGTGCTGATTCTCAATTTTAAATAGAGGGGTCATTGCAGGCTTCCTCAAAAGGTGACGTGAATACAAGCCTGAGGGAGCTAGGAGTGAACCTGGTGGATTATCTGAGGAAATCATGTTGCTAGCAAAGGAAATGCAACAGCAAAGGTCTGAGGCAGGAAAGAGGGCCTGGCTTCACTGCTGGCAAGACCACCAGTGTGGCTGGAGGGAAGTGAGGAAGGAGGAACTAGGGAAATGATAGGTTCAGAGATTTATTGTTTTTTATTTTTTTAAAAAGGTTTACTTATTTATGATTACAAGAACTGGGGTACAGGCCAGAGGTATGGGAGGTGAGAGGATTCATCAGAGACAGAGTGGGGAACAGAACAGGCAGATTGACTGAAAGTACACTGCTGAGGGAGGTCTGCTGTGCTATGTGGGTAGCTCCCGGGGTCGGGGATCGAGCTGAGGCTGTGGCCATCTTTACAGTGCTGCGCTTAACCCCTTGGGCCACCAGGGAGGCCCCGTGTTTTTTTTTTTTAAAGATTTATTTTTATTTTATGCATGCAAGAACTCGGGTGAAGGTCAGAGATGAGAGGGTGTGAGAATGATGGAGGGCAGGAATAGAAAAAAACTGAAAAGGAGGAGCCACAAGACCAGAAACCTGGCTCACACAAGGAGGTGGGGATAGAAGAGATTAGCAGAGCCATTGACACAGCTATAGAAACCAAGATCCTTAGGCTCCAATGCTTAGATCACGAAGCATAAGAATTTGTTACAGGGCAGGGAGAGGGGGCACCCAGGACCCCGCAAACCTGCCTATTCTAAATGGGTTCTGCCACCCACCGTATCAACACAAAACATATGAGACTTTAATGGGAAGGAACTTTAATGCAATTAGGAAACAATACAAGAAAGGCAAAGAATCTAGTTTCTAAATCAAACACCCAAAGTTACCCG